ATGCGGGCTAGACTCGCAGCCAGACCAAACACCAGTGGTGCACCAGCACCCTAACAAGACGGACGGCTGTAGACCGGTCGATGCGGGCTAGACTCGCCAGCCCAGACCAAACACCAGTGGTGCACCAGCACCCTAACAAGACAGACGGCTGTAGACCGGTCGATGCGGGCTAGACTCGCAGCCAGACCAAACACCAGTGGTGCACCAGCACCCTAACAAGACAGACGGCTGACGTCAAACATGCTGCACTGCTCCAGATGCGACAATTCTGTAAATGTTTTTTCAATTTGTTGCATATTCTTAACACAACTGATTGGTTCCATCCAGTCTCCGTAAATCCCCATACTTAAACACGGGGGTCGCAACAAAATGAGGCTGGCGGTGCATCCCAACTCCCCAAGGCATGTACTTCAGATCCGGTGCATGCACCCCAGATCCCAGGACATGCACCCCATATCCCAGAGCGTGCACTCCCATATCCCAGAGCGTGCACCCCACATCCCGGGGCATGTACCCAGATCCCAGGGCATGCATCCCAGATCCCAGGGCATGCATCCCAGATCCCAGGGCATGCATCCCAGATCCCAGGGCATGCATCCCGATCCCAGGGCAATGCATCCCAGATCCCGGGCGATGCATCCCAGATCCAGGGCATGCACCCCAGGATTCCATGGCATGCGCGGGCGCACAGCGCAGCCACTGTGCCTAGGAGCTTGGCGGTGGTTCTCCGGGCGGTTGCTGTAGCAATTGACGCCGAAGCCCTCCGGTTTTCAAGCGATCCTGTAGAAGGCATGTCGGACTGTCTGACGAGCCGAGTCTGAGGCGGGTTGCGGCGAGACGGGATACGGGGGAACTAAGGCACCATCGGGCCACCTCTGGCGCCGGTGCGTCAGCACTGGCCGCGGGACGGGACCGGGTGGAGAGGGCGATGGCATGGCACGAGGCTCCCGCAGACTCCCGACCGTGCAGTCGATGGCAGCACCCTGTTCGAGGCACAGGAGGCACACACTGAGACGGGCCAGAGGAAGCGAGGAGGGATGCACCGGGGTGGCGAGGCGACAGGGTGGGAGGAAGGGGGGAGGGGGGCCTAGACGCGCCGCCGTGCGCTGGGCGTACTGAGGCCCGAGGCTCGAGTTTCTGGCAGCTCGGTAGCAACGGCGGTATGCGAAGAGGGGAGGGAGGGGAAGGGGCGGCTGTTTACCGGCGGCACCGGCCGGGCGGGCCCAGCCGCCACGAAGGGGCAGCAGTGTCGGCGGGCCTGCCACGGCGGACCTGCCCCCGCCTGGTCACGCTCGGTCACACACCGACCAATAGTGCACACGCGGCATGAGTCGAGAAATTGAGATTCTACGGACGTTGAACTGTCCGCCTGGTGAATAAATCCGTGTCCATATCTGCTCGGGTCTGGTGGCGTGCCTGACACTTCTGAACGCGACAGGAACTCATTCGCGTGCCATGCACCGGCGCACGCGAAGCCAAGTGCCACGAAGGCTTCAGGCGCAAACAAGTAAACCATGAGCTTCCTGACACAACTGTGATCCGTGGCGCTTACATGCCTGAGGTTCGTTAGTATCCGACGTCGTCAAACCTGCACACCTCTAGTTATGTGACGCTTTCTGCACGCTCCAAAAAGAAAAGAAAAACTGAAATATGTCGTCTAACGGTCGAACACTGCGAAGGACCCGTCATTTTCCTCTCACTGCTGGCGGCGCCTTCTGATGGAAACTAAAAGCAATAAGTTTAAAAAGATATCTAGTTCTGCGAACCTCGCTCCCTCCCCCAGTAGATCTGCGATTTGATGCCTTTGTTCGCCGCCAGGCACACACACAGAGAGACTGCCCTCCGGTCTCTGACACCCTTCGCCTCACATCTTGGTTGATCCGTCGGATACCGAGCTTCTGCTGAGGATCTGACCGGATTTCCCATTCTGCTTCATATACCTCTTGCTTCGTCACCCGGGAGGCCGTCGCCACTGGTGAGGTCAGGGGGTCCCGGCCGAATTAAATCACGTGCCACAATAGCGTTTTCCGGCATGCTTGGCGCTGCCGGAGCCTCAGGCCAAGGTCAGGGTAATGTGGGACTTACGGTGGTTTAGATCTATGGCCTGAAAGCTCATATATCGTGTGTTGTTTTATGTCCATACTGCGGCCGTGAACGACCGCATTATGCAACCGCTTTGCAGACAGACGCGTCGTTCATCTGGCAGGTAATGAAAATGTGAACCTAATCAGAGACGCGAACTGCAGATCTTTGAAAGCCATGCCCAAATGTTTTAAGGCGGCATATGATTCCCTGATAAGGTCAACACTTGCAGTGCCTATCAGATGGGCGTTATCATCCACTTGTAAGGCGGCTGCACAATGCGATTCTTCACAGCCGGTGTATGGGGATAAAACAACACAAGATAATGTCGTATGTTTGTCGACGAATGAGGCGACAATGTCACGCGAACACTTCTTCCAGCAAGCTGTTCCGGCCGGATCGTTTTTGCTGGGTGGAATTGCGAGAATAACTGGTATAGTTTAGAAGTTCAGAAGATAGGTGCAGTAGCTAGAATGACTGGTGGAGTTCACCAAGCCTTTTTCTCGTGGCGATTCACGCGACTCTTTCACGAAATGTATTATTATATTATATTATTATATATATTCCGAAAATTGATTCGAACCTGAATTTGGCCTTCCTTAGATTATGCGTCACCATGAGCCGAGTCTTAACCCGGCTTTGGAAGGGTCTCGGCTCCCACCGTACGTGAAGGGGAATAGTCATCTTTAAATACCTCAGCAGTGACACCTTTGCAACGAGTGCATCGACATGCAGGCATCAGCTTCGCTGTCATGTTAGAGGTAGCGGTGCCCGCTCGACGACCGCGCAGGACTTCGTGAACACGAGATTCGGTGATGGTGTGATTTGCTGACCCAGGCATTCGTCGGACGTCGGTTACTTGGTGGTCTTTGTTGCTGGGGCCGTCTGGCTGGTGCCCGCGCATGCCAGCCAACAGTTACCACCCAGACCGCTAGCCCGATGACTGCGTCACCACGCAGGTTGCTGCGCGTGGTGTTCTGTCTCGTTCATTCGCGATTTGCACATCCCAAGAGGCACGCAGGGACGTGGTACCGCTGCCTTGATAATATTTTTCCTTTGGGTGCGAAATCCGTGATCAAGGCACAACAAATTTTGCTTAAGAGCGTCAAGCTGATCAAAAAAAAAAACGCAGACCCCACCATCAAGCCATGCAGGGCTTTTCTCACGGGCGAAATGTTGATCACATAAAATTCGCAGACCTATTTCCGTGTGCCATCTATTTCTGAAAAATTATCACGGGCCCACCAAACTTGTCGCCCGCATTGTTACGAACTACGTCTCATACATACTGTCCTCCCGTGGTGTTCCAGATTGTCTGTACCACACCCCATGTGTGCAGCTATGCGCCACCCACGCCGGTCTGACCGGGGCGCCGCTTCCCTTCGCCACAGGTGCGGCCATAGACATGACGATGCTGAACCTGACACCGTACAGCCTGCCGCCGGATGGCCAGTGGGTGATGACGACGGACATTCCAGACTGGGCCCATCTCGTCATGGGTGCCTACCTGGCCGTGGTCGGCACGGCCGGCGTCGTCGGCAACTTCCTGGTGCTCTACATCTTCCTCAGGTGAGCGGTCAAGTGGCCAGTGCCTGTCAGTAGTCTGCGGCCTGTGCGATGAAGTATCTCATCTGCACGCACTCGTCAGTAACGACTGACATTTGGCGCCATCTGAGCATGACATTACATCAGCGCCAAACGTTGAACAACCGAAGCAACTCATAGCGCGGTATTCTGGTGAATCTTTCACAAAGCAATCAGACCGTTACGCCCGGGTCATGCTGTTTTCTGTCGGCGTCGGGGGGAGGGGGGGGGGGGAGGGGGGGGGAGGCGATCTGAAAGCGCAAGAGGCGCACCCGGGAATAGCAATCAAGGGGCGAGGCATATCTAGCCAAATATGGATGATGTCTGGCCAGCTATAGATATGGAAGATGGATGATGGTGGGTGGTCAGAGGCGGATGATCCCGACGAACATTGCTGGTAAAGGCAATGTTGGTATGTTAATGCCACATCGTAGCATGAGTGTAACTCTGATCGCATTGTGCTCGAAAAAGGGTGTACAGACACGTTCAGTGCTTAGAATGCTTCTAGTGTTTCTGCCGTAAATAGGCGTAATATGCGTTAAATAATTGACACAGACGCGCGCACATATGTTGACGTCACGCTACGTAGATTTATGAAAGACTAGAGGTTACTTCATGTTTTCAATTCAAGCAATTGGTAAGTCAAGGTAAGTCAAGGATGGTCGTGGATATTCATGATTCAAAGTCCATATCATGCGACCGGCGCGCGTGATTGACTACCACGCTGATTAAGGTTGCCAGCCGCTGCGTTTTTTTCAGCTGGCTGTAACCTAACCCGGTGCCGCGTGCGATATTTCGCCTCCGCCACCGTCTTGCAGGTTAAACGTACCCCCCATCGCTTTGTGTCTCTGCATACAGTCGTCAAATCAGAAACAAAATCAAACGACATTTACCCAAGCTTTCGGATCGCTTAGTGTACCATTATCGTTCAGCTTCATAACGGACACCTCATGCAGGAGCACATCTTTGGGTCAAGGGCGTGCTCAACACCGTGATCTTAACAGGAGCCATAGGTCAAGGTCACGCGCAGGTTATGTCTGGTTTAGGTCAAGGTCACGCGCAGGTTATGTCTGGTTTAGGTCAAGTTGCAGTTTTCTATTTTCTGGCTCGCATGCTAGGCATGAAAATCATTGCTTTACAGTGCGTAAATTATGCTGAAATATTTACCGCAAACTGGTGCAA